TCAATTCATTGGTGGAAATCTTGTTTCTTGGTTCAGTAAGAAACAAAACTCCATTTCTACATCAACAGCAGAAGCAGAGTACATTGTTGCTGGTAGTTGTTGTGCTCAAATTCTGTGGCTGAAGCAACAACTACTGGACTATGGAGTCAAGACAAAGGAAGTGACAATCTTTTGTGACAATCAAAGTGCTATAGCCATCTCACAAAATCCAGTGCATCATTCTCGCACTAAGCACATTGATGTCAAGCATCACTTCATCAGAGATCATGTGGAAAAGAAAGATATCAAAATTGAGTATATCTCAACTGAAGAACAACTGGCGGATATCTTCACAAAACCACTAAGTGAAGCCAAGTTTTCCGATTTGCTTCACAAAATTGGTCTAATTCAATTAGACTGAGTGCGGTACACGTGGCAGTTCACTTTCCACGGCTGTGAAAATGGTGGGTGGGCACGTGGCCTTGGGAATAGTCAAAAACCCAATCACCACTAGCCGGATAAATCGCCCAAATCAAACCCAATCGCCACTATTCAGATCTCAACCGCCCACTCAAAGTTTTTCGTCGTCTTCTTCGCGAGAAAGACTCAAGAACCCTAAGATTTTTTCTTTCAGAATCTCACTCAAATTTCTGAGAAAATGAAGGTTGTCGACGCAAATGTTCATTTCCAGAAGTTGGAAGCCAAATGCTCCTCACCAGCATTCTATCAATGCTATCTGGAGATGATAGCCGCTCAAGAACTCTCCGAATTTCTTCAAATGGAGATTTGCCTCAAATTTAAAGAAGTTCTTGAATTTTACAAAAATGGAGAGGTCAAGACTGCTCATTCAAAGAAGGACCCACAGAGGACGTTTCAAGTCATCAAATCCATTGTTGGAGGGAGAAAAGTGAAGCTTTCGCAAAAGAATTTGGGAGAAAAGCTTCACCTTCCCAATTCTGGAGTTGAAATTGGGAGATTTCCAGTCAAAAATCTGGACTGGAACATCATTGGAATTTCTCGACAAGCTCCTTCTGGCCAAGCAAAGAAAGCAGATCTGAACAACGACTACAAATTAGTTTTGGAACTGGTCATCGCTTGCCTCGAGTGTGGAAGTGGAGGTCATGCTGATGACATCACGCAGGAGAGAGCCTTCATCATCAACGCTCTCATTACCAAATCTAAGGTAAATTGGGCTGCACACTTCTTCAAATCCATCTCAAAACATCTGGGAAAGCACAATCAAAAGTACCTTTGTCAAGGTCTGTACATTGGACATATTTTGGAGTCTATGGGTGCTGCTTCTGAAGGAAAGAAGTATGAAGAAAGATATTGGTTATACTATCTGTCTTCAAAAGGGGAAAACAGAGCTGGTGCTAGTGCTACTGTAGAGGAAAGCTTATCAAATAATGTCCCACTCATCAATCTGACGAAGACTGCCAAAAGGAAGCAAGTGATGTCTTTCTCTCTCAGTGTAGAAGCACCACAGAACCTTGTTCCAGTGAATCTTGAAGAAGCAGAAGAAGTCTCTGTCCATGGAGAACTTCAAAGGAAGAAGAAGAGGAAAATCACCTCTCCCTCAACATCTGGATATGTCAACCCGGATGAGTTGAAGGAGAAGGAACCTGCTGTGGAAACCTCTGCCCACAAACAAAGTCCTCAACAACTGGAAGAAGAAGCTCATCAAGTCCATAGTCTTCCAACCCCCTCACCTCAACCTCAAACAGATGATGCTGAAAACCAATTCTGGCAGCTCTACTATAATTGGAGAGCTTGGAAAGTTGGAAATTCAGCAGAGCAATTGTTGGATTGGGACCAACAACTGAAGAATGAGAAGATTATCAAGAAATGCATAGGACTACCAGTCAACCATAGCTGTGAAGAAATCTTGGATGACTACTGGGTATGGCAAAGGAACCATGAAGACTTGCATTTGGAACACTTGGCCACCACACCAATTTTAGAATTTGAAGTGGATGATGAGGATCCTACAGTCTACAAACCAGTCCTCTCAAAAACCACAGAAGATCAGGTGGTTCTCACTTCTGAAGCACAGGCTAACTTGGAAGCAACAGCTGAGGATTTCCAAATATTTCCGGAAACCTCATCTACCTTTGAAACGGTTCTACCTGAAGCTATAGTCTCTACTCCAAAAAAACAGAACCAGGAAGGATCAGATGAAGAACTTCACCAACATCTCCAGTCTCAAGTCCTTGAGATTCTCACAACTGCTTGTGAGATATCCAACCAGCCTGAACTTGAGATCCCGGAGAAGTCAGGAGAAAATCTGGATCAGTCCACTTTTCTAGAAGCAACTGAAGCCCAAGAGGAACAAGCTGTAGAAGCCCAGAGGAGTTCTGCAGAAGCTGAGATTGAAACTCAAATGGCAGAACTGGAGGCCTCTAAATCTCCAGTAGCCATTTTTGAAGTACAGAATGAAGCTGAAGAAAGAGACTCCCTCTCTAGATATATATCAAATTTTGCGCTTGATGAAGCAGAAGGAGAGTCTGAAAGGACACTAAAGAGCACTGATGAAGACGATGTGCAAGAAGATGCTGAATCTCTCCCTATGCAATTGTTTCAAAGAACACCCTCTTCTCATCAGGTAACCTACTTCCATTTCCATAGCTCTTCCATTCCTACACTTCCGGATGAGGTACTGGAAACCTGGACAAAGAAGGTCCAAGGGTTGATTGAATCAGCCCTAGCATCTCAACATGCCTTCTTTAGGCAAGAGATAGAGCAGATGGAAGCCAGGTACAACAAGCTGATTGAGAAATCCGAAGAGACACACTGCTCCAATCTCAAGGAGATAAGCAAATCAGTGGATAAGACTCTAGAGATCATCTCTCTATTGAGTAAAACTGTGAGCCACACGATGGAGACATATGCATCTGACAGTTATCTTCAACTCAAGGAGGTTAACAAAATCAGAGAGCAAATAGCAAATGTCACAGTTAGTCTACAAAAACAAATGTCCCTTCTCCAAATGGACATCAGATCAGCTCTGGCAGTGTCTTCAGCAAATCAAGTAATAACCAAAGACTACTTGAAGGTAATCATTGACAATCAGAAGGAAGCATTCAAACTATTCAGACTTCTTACCACAAATTCTGGAAATTGCAAGATGGAAGTGGTTCTTCAACAACACAGTCCATCCTTGATTCCAGAGCTCCCTATTGCAGTCAAAGAAGGAGAAGTCTCTTATATTCCTACGCATCTGAACATGACTGACCTGATCCTCGAAGCTCAGAGAAAGAATCCGTAGGACTCAACACAGCACCTATCCAGCTCAGGATTGGATGGAACAGAGGCTGTAGGAACAATTGCTGCTCACTTCTCAAATGATAACCAAACAGAGGAGAGACGCAACAACATAAGGCGCATTAAAGAACTATGTGGAAATATGCAAGGCATCAGTGAGATTGCCGGATCTTCAAAGCGCAAGAAGCACTGAAGGCTTTTTTCATCAAACCAGGGGGAAAGTATGTGAAAACACTATTTTTGTTTTGATGAAAACACCTTCTTGTTTAAACATTGCTTGTTTTGGTTTAAACACTGCTTAATATTTCTCTTAAATATGCTTATTATGCTTGATTATACTCATTTCAAGTATGATTTTGAAATTTATTCCTGAGCGCATACATTCAGGGGGAATGTAATTCAGGGGGAACTTAACTGTTTTTTTTGCTAACAATTGTTTTTGGCAATGAATTATTGATGAGCTCTAAGCAAGGGAAGACAGATATCTCAGTTTTAGTACTAAAGTTGGAAATCTCCGATTCAGGTACTTTACAAAATCTGCCTTCTTAAACTAAGCTTTAATCCTTAATTCATTTCCAACTTCGCTCTAAAAGTACTGGTCCTTAGGATTTTTATAATGTACAGGACTTTGGAAAAATAGTACCACTTTTTATTTTAAAAATGAATTACAA